CGTTTCTGCTTCAGTCTTTGACATTTGACAAAGTCAGGAAGAATCTTTCAGAATGTGTCGTCAAAACTCATAAATGGTTAGAATATGCCTCGATCCCGATAAAATGCATTAAAGTTTGCGGATGGGACATGTATAAATACATAACAATGTGAGGCAGTGTAGCTCCAGTAACCTGATGCAGCAGGCTTAGATTCCTCCCAAACATTTTGTCTTTGGTGAGTCTCATTTTTCTCCTCCTCCTTTCCAGGCAGCCACCACTAACAGTAAGTCCGCCCTCAGCGCCAGCAACAAGAAGACGACCTTGCCTGCAGATTTCAAATTTGCCCCAGAGACACTCTCACAGCTTAGCCTCAAACCGTCCAGCTCGGTGAGATATCCGCCGCATCTGGTCACTGATCTGCTTTCTAACTATTTCACATCAAAAGTAATGCATCATAATGGACAGTTCTATGTTTGAGTGAGTCTAATTAATCTGACAATATTTAAGTGTTCGGGATAACTTGTGGCAACGTTCACCAACTTTCTCATTTTATTTTTTTCATTCAGAATCCTTTAGGAGTTTAAAAGCTCCAGTTCTACGTCTTTACAGTCACACAATAATCCAAGACAAACTGAAGCTTACCTCAGTCTTCATTTTAAATCACATTATACTGTGTGGGATTATTTTAAGTGAGCACTTGGAACATAAAAAAAATGTTCTTCACGCATACTAACAGGATTCCAACATGTTTAGAAAGGCATTACATGTGATTTAAAGTTTGTCAGTGTGGGGAAAGAATAGTATGTATTTTCACGTTTGCTTCCCTATCTAGCTGTCTTTATGTATTGTTTTGTCTTTCATTCTTTCTGTCTGTTTGTCTTTCTTTTTTCTGTCTTTTCTGCCTTTCATGCTTTCTTTCTGTTTCTGTCTTTGGCCTTACCACTCTTGTAAACATTTCTATTCTTACTTTCATAGGAGGTTGAAAACGTACATAGAAATCTGGAAGTCTATGTCTGGAAAGTCTGGCACTCTTTGACATCTGCCATATTGTCTAGGTTTTCTAACAGAATGTATTTTCTGCTCTGTGTAGTTGAGTCAAGAGGCCCAGAAGAGGCTGTCTGGAGAGCTTGGAGAAGGAATCGGGGATTATGACTACAACAATGCCAACGACACAGCCAACTTCTGCCCTGGTCTGCAGGTCTGGAAGCCATCTTCACGTTAGCAGAAATCTGCTGAGTCTGCAGTACGCGTTAGCAGAACAGACCAGCTGCATCGCAATATGGTCATAGTCAAACTTATCTCAGAGATTACAATGTCCAGCTGTGTTTATACGCTTAGTGAAGCTGCTGTTTGACTCAATGATGAACAGCAGCATGAAAGTGGCCGTCCACTCTGTTTCAGGGGGACAGTGATGACGATGTCGAAGGGTTCGCTGGTTCAGATGACACTCAGCCGTCAGGTGACGGTCTGTCTCAGCCCTCACAAGACCTGGAGGGAGTTTCCACATACGGGGAGGAAGATCTGGTGCCTGAGCCACACAGGGTATGAACCTCTGCTCAATACTTTCTATAACACAAAGTCAGAGCCTTATAACAGCATTCACACTGCAACGAGCTTCCATGTTACAAACATCTGTTTTTTTCTGATGTGTTAAAATAAGTTATCAGTGATTGGTTTCTTTAGATCTGTTCAGTCACGAATTAAAAAAACAAAAGCTAGATGGAAACGTCTTCTGTTTTTTCTATCAAGTCATTTTTGGCACCAACGGAAAGAATTGTAGAAAAATAAACTTGTCGTAATTCTAGGGCTGCCGCTAAAAATCATGATGTTCAAAACCAAAAAGTTAGTGAAATATAAAATTTCATTTTAGTACATTAAAGCCTGTGGTTGTAATGGAACAAAATGCTTAAACAGTACGAATAATTTTTCTAGGCACTGTAATTATATTCTACAACTTCATGTGTAAAATGTGTAAATTCTGTACATTGGAAAAGTTTTTGCTTTGTAATTTCTTCGAGGCTTACTGTGTTACTTTGCTACAAAGGTGAACAAAATTGAAATCAACTACGCCAAGATGGCGAAGAAAATGGACATGAAGAGGCTGAAGAACAGCATGTGGACTCTGCTGACCGACAGCCCAGAAAAACCACAACAGGCAAATCACTTCTCTCTCTTTCTTTTTTTCCCTAACATCTTGTCTGGAGAGTTAGCGAGGGGCGAGTAAAATAGCCAGTCAGTCGGGTTGAGCTGGATTTGTCTGATTCTGTGTGTCCAGGTCTGTTTCATAGGCTTTTCCCCTTGATGTTCCCAGCAGGTGGAGGACTGTGCAGAGGCTCCAGTGTGTAGAGAGAAAGCTTTCAGTCAGACCACAAAGACTCTGCTTCAAAGGTACTGGCCAACCTGCTGGTCCGACCCGCTACAACTTCAACACTTGTGAAGAATATTAATCAGTTGGTGCTCATGCTGCATGACAGTAGTGAAAACAATTTAATTCTACGCAAAGATAATCATTGCCGTACTGTTCCCTAATTAATCCTACTTTAATTTCAAACACAACAGTTTTTGACTTCCAATTAACAGAAAAGTTTAAAAAAATAAATCAAATTTGTAAAAGCCTCTGTTTTCCTGTTTCTCTCCCTCTGTGTTGGTTCAGGTTACCCAGCAGTATGGCTCAGAACTTGTCGGTGCCACTGGCGTTTGTTGCCCTGCTTCATCTCGCTAATGAAAAGGTGAGCGTCACTCAAAGGATGCGTATTAGGAAGTAACGTTGTGATTGATGTGGCCAGTTCCAGTGGTTAACGGATGGGCTCTAAGGATAAGTCACAAACTTGAACATGCACACGCTAAAGCCGTAGAGAAATCTGTATGTCATTGAAACCTTTAACTTAACAGATTTCTCTGCATAACATACAGAGAAACTTATGCATGTAAAATGTATGTTTCTTCTGAGCACATAAAGACGTGTGACGTCTTGAAAAGAAAAATGCAGACAGCTGCTTGCTGCTCAAACCATCTGTGAGCTATACTGCAACAAGTATGGGTATTGATTTCTGATTTATTTTCCAGAACCTGGAGCTGGTGAAGGTTGATGACATGTCAGATATCATCATCAGACAAGGCCAGTGAGCTGACCAGAACTGAAGATTTTTAATTTTTTTGTTGTTGTGTCTACAGCCTTATTTTTCATACTCAGTGTTTATCTTAACCTTCATTTTTTTTCTTTGAAAGTATGTTTTTACGTGTCTTTCCTTATCTCCATACAATGTGTCTTTTCTTATCTGCTTTTGCTCCCTCTAACAGCAGGTCTTTCTCAACTCCTTACTCTGTCTGTCTAACAGCACAACCATTGCTCAAAGAATGAATTGTCAGAATAAAAACGTTCTTTTTTATATATAAAGTTCCAGTGATTTTTAAACACAATAATAAACATAACTTGATGGTGAATCATTTTAATGACGAGAAAGCTCAGATGATTTGCATCGGCAAATAATCAGATAGCCCTCAGCTACTGTTGATCCAACCAGCCGGAACAGGAGCAACATGCGCCGCCTCCTTCTAGGTGGTGGTCAAACTGGTTGGTTGAGGTATGAAGTTTCTGGCTGGGTGTAGCAGATCAACGAGGAGGAGCTGTGGGCTAAAGCAGGACACCAAACTTTCCTGTTATGTGAGCAAAGGAAGACTAGTGAAGTCTCTTTTTTTTTCATATGTATTTGAAATGCAAAGGAAGTGAAACGATAAATATTAAGGAAGCAAATCCTTTAAAAAGCTTTACAAAAAAGTAAGCAGCTAGTAGGAAAATTATTAAAAGCATCATTCTTGGCGGAAGTTCATTTGGCTCCTTTGATTTGTAGAAAAGAAAATAAAGAGTCTAGCAACGCTTTGCTGTTTAGTAATAAAAGCGGATTAATAGCTGTTCTTTAGATCAACAAGAGAGGATTGCCTTCACAAGTAAGCAAATAAAAGCGGAGCAAAAACCTATTTAAGCTTCGTCTCAAGTTAATTATTTACTGTTTATTGAGATTTGAAGCTTAAAATGTTTCACAAGATTCAACCCTTGAAAAGCCGATCATTTATGTGAAAGCCAGAGGTTTTATTAAACAAATTCCAACCTGAACCAGAAAATGTTTCCTTATTTGTCTCCATTAAAACCACATTTTTATTGGAATTTGGGAGAAGGGAAAGAACAGGATACATGCTTTCAAGAAGTTTGTTGGAGGAAAAAAAATAACCAGATAGGTCAGGGATGAACTTGTGGAAAAGCATGGCGTCATTACAGGCAAACATTGTGCCTTGTATAAAACTCAGGCTCAAATAACGTGAGTTGGATTTTCAACAATATAAACAATATCAAAGTATTTGAAAATTATGAAGTTATGTTTTTTTTTCCTTTGGAGTAATAAATCATAACCGATGCACAGTAGTCCTACCGCACATCAGTTCATACCCACAGATATATACGACCAATTATAAATGTATTGGAGTCACTTTCTTTCATTAAAAAGGCACCAAAACAGAGTCCATCCTCATACATATTTATTTCTCAATCTTCTGAATTCTTTTTTTAATATAGCTTTTGCCTTGTAATTTAAATGTAAATTCCTGTATGTCTAAGCTCTTTTGCCTTCTACCTAAAAATGAAAGATGACCAAGCACACAGCCCTGAGCTTTTCCTGAAGGGAAATACAAGCTCTATTATTGATTTTATGACTCGGTAAGATCACATTTAGGATGTGCTGGAAAGAACAGCTGAGTGTGACGCCACAGTAGGAGTGGCTCAGGTGTGTGTTACGACAATGAGGGAAGTACAGGTGCCGTTTCAAAATAAAAGCATTTTCATTTCACCGCAAGGCGTGGATATTGGACATAAAACGCTGGCAGTCATCCACTAGCCCCTTAAATAGCTTAAACACATAAAATAAGCTGATTGTTTTGGTGTTCTCTCGTCGAGAAACAAACCGTATGTCGTTACGTATTTTAACGTGACAGAGGAAGCGAGTTGTGATACGGTTCGCTTGACACCGGCGACGCGGAGGAATTTAGTCAGAAGGGAGAAAAAAAAACATCAACCAGGAAGTTAACTTGAAGAAGGAAACGTAGTTGGAACTTTAACGTATTAAACTTTTACATTTTAAACCAGGTTTTAAAAAAAAGCTCTTAAGCGAAGGCAAAAAGGATAAGTTAAAAGTTGGACCACCAATTTACGAGCAAGAGGACTTTTGCTTCTAACAAGATGGACTATGATCCGGTAGGTGATGAGAATAATGGCTGAAGGCTGTTTGCTGCTCGGTGTTTCCAGCGATGCCACTGCTGGCCGCCATACAGGCAGCAGGTGCGTTTCTAGAGAAAACAGACTCTGTGGAAAGGAGAGAGGGAAAGAAACAGGCTCACTCAGAGAACATTTTAACTTTTAAACGTAGAGGAAGAAAGTTCTTACGACGCCGAGCTTGAAAACAAAGTGGGTGGCTAATAACACCCAATGGACAGAAACTGCTGGGTGGAAGGATATTTTTTTTCTATCCTTGTTAAAACTAAAAAAATTATCCACTTCACATAACCTGTTGCGGCGATAACATTGACTTTAAAATAAATAAATAAATGAATAATTTTAAATAAATATATTTAATAAATTTTCTTCCCAAGAGTGTGCGTCCAGCTCTATTTAATTCCACTGTTGAAAACAAACCTCTCACTTAAGTTACGTAAATTATACTTCTGTCCACTTACCTGCTATTAAGTTTGGTAGAGAAAAAATAAGGTAATAAACCCACTAAACATGCACGACATGCTGTTATTTCGATACGGCTGGTATTTTGGGGTTGGTAAAACCTGCTTTACAGAAATGCTGCCAATTCTAAACCATTTGAGTGATTAGTTGCTGTTCTTTCTAATTTATTTTCGAATGGTTAAATGTATCTTTCTTGCCAGACATACAGAATAATTTGTTCGCCCAGCTGACTGGCAGTGAGCAGCAACGGGTGGGGGCGGGGCCCTCAAGCTTTCCAGTCAGTAGAAACTAAAGACACTCATTCAGCTGTGTTTAATTAAAAAGACAAAGCTGTGATGAGTTGAGAATGCATATTTCAAACTTTCTTTTATATTAAGACTAAATATAAAAATACTCCAGAATTATTACCTTTATTTTGTGACATCAGCAGTAATTCACCTTTCACATTTTAATACTTTACATGGAACAGCTTATGATTTAGATATTTTCCTGTCTGCATCAAATACAGAACTATGTACAGTGATGACTATAAATAAAGAATTAGTTCTCAAACATTATGACATCTCTAAAGCTTCACTTCAATAAATCCAGTTTTCATGAGAGATTGTAAAACTGTTGTGGCAATTATTATTATTCCCTTTTGTTGAAGAAGATTATAAAGTTGTCTGTGTTGCACAGTAATCTATTGTATTTATATTGATAAGTGCAGCAGCTGGGCGTGCTTTAACATTTCACTGAATTCAAGTGATGTTCGTGTTAAAGCTCACAGCGCTGGAGCAAAAAGACTCCAGACATATATATATATATATATATATATATATATATATATATATATATATATATATATATATATATATATATATATGCTTTAAAATTTCCTCATCTGTACTTGAGGGAGTACAGATGAAAATCAGCCTTTATGGCTAACTCTGCCCATACTTTGTCCCTTTTGAAATAAATTAATCAACAACAACAAACCAAATTGTACTTTATATATAAATAAGTCTGACTCCAGAGGAGTTAGTGGCTCACAGGTCATGACCCTCACCACACATCACTGGTAGCCACAATAACTTGTTCCTGGTTCACTGTCTTCCTCTTCATCTCAAAGGTCTGTTTGAATATTTCTGAATATTTATGTTTGAATATTTGTGACCAACGCCAGCTGGCTAACGCTACCAAACCCTAGCAAACGGCTAGCAAACCATTGGTTTGTGTTGCTAACGCCACAGGGTAGCGTTGGTCTTCTTAATATCTAGAATTGTAAAGTTACTGAACAGTTTAGAGTAAAAATTTAATGCAAACCAATGAGAAATTGCTTAAGTGCAACCAAGATAAAATAATAAAAAAGCGATTTTATGTAACAAATGTTTTTCTCTTTAAAACGGGACGATTTATTGCAATCAGACCATAAAGAATCTCAGAGCATGTTCATTACTTCTATATTCGAAGCTTGACTCTTATCATATTTGGGTAGTAAAATCAGACAGTTAGGATTTGGAGTGGTGGCTAACACGGACAAGGGAAATCAGTCACTTTGCATTCAGAGCAGCTACACTGTAGCTGCTACAGTGTATAAAACTATCATCTGTTGTGTGAGTTACTGAATTCAACTGGAATACCGAGGCCACCTTCTATGAAACAGACACATGTCCCTCTTTCTGTGGACAGATAGCGGTCAGCCATGCCTCGATGGAGTGTTTGGTGTGAAGAGATTAGGAAAGGACTGAGCTAGGTTTGTGTGGCAGGCGAATAAAACGTGAAGTTGACTGTCACTCCTTCCTCAGTAGACGTGGGATTTAACAAAAAATAAATACAATAACGTGCAGTTAAGCATTAACTCATGAAGCTATTAAAAATCTGTAGAACTTGTAACCGGGATGAGAACAGCATGAAGACAGGATAGCATCAGACAGACAACGGATGACGCAGGAAGAACCTGCTCTGTTTCCTGGATACGGCTTTGTTTAGAGGCTGTTTCCGTCTTCTGGGATAAGGAGGTCTGTGTGTGCGCACACGCACCTGCTGCCATTTCTGCTTTGAATTAACACCCACGGCTTTGAAAGATGAGTTTACTTCTCTGTATCAAACAACCCCAGGAAAAAATAACTTGGCATTCAGCGGCTGCCGCATGCCAGAGTTTTGATCAGTGACCTGAAAATGGCAACACGATACAAATCAGGAGGTTATATTTAATGGATGGGAAACCTTCTGCAGGTGTGAATGTTTTCTAAAGGTCTGTTTGAATATTTATGATGAGTTTAAAGTTTGAAGGAATGTTCACCCTGTCACGCATGAAAGGGATTCCTCAGAAATTGGGCTTTTCCAAGTGAAGTTGGTTCGTTTTAAAGCAACCAGATGTTTCTCGGTAGATTCCAATTTTTCTTAAAAGCAAAGGTCAAATCAATAATACGGCAAATAGCTGAAAAAATATTCATGTTAAGGGAAAGCTAAAATATTGAGGATAAATAAGCGAGTTGTCTCACATAATGGTGTTAAATGGATGTACCGTAAATCAAAACTTTTGCATGGGGATTTTAGTTAAGAACAAATTGAAACTTTTTTTTTATCTTAAGTGGTTTTGTCCAAAATTCTGCCTTTTTAAAGCTATTTTGATTCTGACAGCAAGATAGGTATCTGTTACCTACAGTGGTGTGTTAGAGAGATTGTATATAGTTTAAAAAAAAAAGAGGAGTAAATTTCGACCATAAAAACTTGCAAGAAAACATCTTTGACTTGAAACTCATAAATGTTCAAGTTTTGTTCTGGAAAATTTCTGAGATTGACCTCAAAATTTGAGGATTTTTTTTTTTTATCAATTTTTGAACTTTTCAAAATTGGCAGATATTTACTCCTTGTTTTACATTGTTGTAGTTACCAGCATAAAGTTGCTAAATTAGACCTGAAGACTTTTCTCCAGCTTCACTGAGGACCTCGGTCACTGCAGCACACTGCTGGTCACCTGACTCAAATTAGGATTCTTGTTTTCTCTGTTGCCTTGTAGAACAATGAATTCAGTGATTCAGAAACATCTTCAGTCACGACAAACTAAATATGATATTTTGAAAACTACACCTGGTCCCTGTAATAATCAGTGCTCTATTATTTCAGTAGCAGTAGGAATACTTTAGTTTAATATCAAACAGTTGTCTCACAACACCACTTTTTGTTTCTAGTGTCAATAAATCTTCTTAAACCATATTGGATTTGGTTGAGATGATCGTACCATGACACTGCAGCTCAACCTCGTCTCACTGTATCCTCCATCTGGTCTGCAACATCTTGGGTTTCTGCTGCCAGAATATCTTGCATAGATGAATCAGAATAGATAATATTATCACTATCTACTACCAACGCTCCTGCTTATTTCCTACATAGCTGAAGAAATTGAAAAGAAATCTCCGCTGGATGGAGCGATGGAGGTTAAACCTTTAGAAACCTAATTTTCTGTATAATGAAGGACTTTTGGCACAACTCACATTTATTGACGGTTGACAGTTTGAGGAACTATATTTTTTTCTTTCTCTTTTTAGCGGTTATGTGTTTGCACCATTATTAGCTCTACAGATTACCCCATCTGTTCAACCAGCCAACGGTTATGGGGAGTTTAGTTGCTGTTGAGTTTAGTCTTCTCTATAAAATGAACATAGTTTTTCTGCTGAAAGATTTCATTACCATTGTTTGATTAATGTTCTGTGATTGTGTTGATGTCACAACCTTTTCTATACATTTAAACAGAGAGACATCTATGAAATGTGTAAATATACTTACTTTGAGTGCACAAAGTAATATTATATATTTGACTGCAGTGTTTTTATTGGGTCTAATTTCTAACACGTGATAAAATTTGACAAAATGTTTACTGATGCAGAGGATGCTAACAACCGCAATTTGTCATTGAAGAATGTCGAGTCCACTTTGACGTTGTAAAGTTGGTAATAACTGTTGCATTTCAGCTAATTCTGAGTTCTTTGCACTTTGCCGCCATAGGAACGGGGAGGAATTGAGGACGTACCAGAGCCCATAGACAAGGTCCAGAACCTGCGGGATCAGGTGGATGGAGTGAAGGACATCATGACGCAGAATGTTGACCGGATCCTGGCGCGGGGAGAGAGGCTGGACGACCTCATGGGCAAGTCGGAGGATCTACAAGCAGGGGTCAGTGTCACCCCCATATTTTTATTATTATTATACATTTCTGGTCTCCTTTTGGTTTATCGGAAACACAGAGTTGCACCGTGTAGGTTTGCTGCTGAGCCATGGTCACAGTGGCAGTCATTATGAACAACTCTGAGCAAGATGGTTTCGCTGGGTATGTGGGGAAAAAAGGCAAATAAAGTGTCGTCTCATTCTTCTGCTGAATGCAACTTTTAATGGAGAGCGTTTCAGACAGGCACCTGGGGAAGAGAATGAGCTCATTAACCCCACAGCTTGCTACCTCAGGATCAGATGTCTCATTACACAGTATGCCTTAACCCATGTCACATTTTAATTTGAGTCTTCATTAAAGGTTCACTTCAGGTGTCTGGGAGCGAAACCAATCAGCCTCTATAGACAGGGGTGGATATGGATTCAATCATCAAAAGTTCACACAAACTCTGATCATATGTTTTCTTTTTTTTAAATAAATTAGCCATTTTGATTGGGAAGAACTATGAAAAATCTTTGACTATTTGTGTTTCCATTACAAATGTGCATAGAAATTTCTCTGTATTCCACTAAAGCCAAAAAAATAAAATTTTGCAATTGGATGCCTTTCCATTAAATAAGAAATGCAGTTAAAATTACACGTAAATAGGTTTGTTTACGCGATGTTGGTAAAAAAAACATAATGTCGCGCCATCATCCGCCAACCTGGGGTTTGTGTGATCCTTCTCATGTTCTTCCATTCCCAGGCTCAGAACTTCAAGCAGACTTCTCACAAAGTGGCCCGGTCCTACTGGTGGAAGAACGTCAAGCTGGTCGTCGTCATCGTGGTGATCGTGCTCATCATCGTCCTCATCATCATCCTGCTGGCCACCGGAGTCATTCCCGTCAGCGCGCCGGTGGGTCCAGTAGTCACTCCCACCAAGAAACCGTGAAGGCGCACAGAGCAAGACACAATGAAGTCGTAAACACAAAATACCGAGTAATATATTGACCCTAGAGCATGACTTATTACTACTTTTGGTAAATATTTAAGGTTTCTTAGTTTCTTCAGGTTACTTTCATGCTTTTGTTACAGGCACTTTTAATGAGAAACTCTTTGAAACAGTTGAAATAAAACCAGATCAATGAGTTATCTTTCCTTTTCTAACTTTTTTTAAAAGCTTTTTTTTTTCTTTTTCTTGCTGGAAGCACCTCAGTCTTCTTCTCCATCTATAGCTACTTAACAGTTAATCAGAATGATTGTAGATTTTTATTTTTCATAGTTCACCGTTTATGTTGACGTTTCCAAAGATATGCTTACAAAGTCTAAACCGGGAGAAACTCATCCAACGTGTTATGAGACGCACATTAGATTTTGAATGTTACCACTAACTTCATTGAAGGAGAATCTAATTTTTTACACTCAACCTAAAGAAAATGTGTACAACTAAAACCAATGACTGATGTTGGTACGACGAATGTTTTTTTGTTGTTGTTTTTTTTTTTACATTCAAGCATCTATTGCATAATAGCAGCCTGAGGTATTGAGAACAAGTGGGAAGCATCATCAGCCTCTTTCTCCTGCCCCGCCGCCTGGTTAACAACAGAGAGGTCAAAATAAATCCAATTATCAACTGTGTATAGTTCTCACCAATGTGTATATTTACTGTTAACAAGAGTCTTTGCTGAAAATGTCCAATCATTAAAACCAAATTATTTAATTCTTTATTTTATTCAATAGAATCAAGAATGATTCCTAGATATTTCTGTGAAAATAAACTATACTGATTTTTGATTAAATGACACAGTTCTGTGTTTTTTTTTTTTTTTTTTTTTTTTTTTTTTTTTTTTCTGTTTATCAGATGATTGCATAAAGAACCAGAATGTGTTGGAACAAATTCTCTGTATGTTCTAGCTATTGTATGTGATTGTGGGATGCAGTAGCCTCTGTTCTCTTGGCCTGTTTAGTTTTGACTGAGTGATAAATGCTGTCCTGTCGGCTGACCGCCGCAGAGCAGCTGGACGGTGTGACCGCTCGCCAGGGTTTGTGGCGTTCAATGGTTTCACTGTCTGATGAAGTCAATAAATAGTATTTACCTCAGCCTGGTTGTTTGGAACATGTTTGTAGTTCACCGTGTGGCCTGAAGAGGGCGACCTGGTAGCGGTGCCGGTGGTCCGTCTCTGCTCATCCTCTGATTCCGCGCGCCCTGCACCTCAGGTGTTGTGCGGAGAAACGCGCTCCTACCTGAGAAATTACCTGCCCTTGTCGCGGGAGCGCGCATCACTCTAAACTCGCATATTGATGAGAAAACGGACTGAAATCTGACCGAAAAGGAAACTTTTAAAGATATTCGAAACATGATCATGTTTTTTAAACATAAGCCCTGAAATGGAGGGTTTTGTCTCTCAGATGAATTGAACTGAATGCGGTTTTGACACCATTGTTGAGAAGTGTGAGTCGAAGGTTTTGCAGCCAGTGTTTTTTCTCCTCTTTTTCTTTCAACACCATAACAACTGAGGAAACAGAGGGCCATTATGTAGAAAAATTGACATCACCCATAACTGTCCAACCTATTAATATAAGAGCATTAATTGGTGAGCCTGTCAAAAGCTGCATCCTGCGGTACGGATCCCTGCAGGGGACATGGGACAATGTTTTTCTTTTGCGTTTCCTCGCTGTAATCTACTGATCAGTTATGCGGCATAATTAAATCCCGTAATCCCTTCCCATGGTGGCCGCCGTGCGTTTGCTTTAATACAAGGTTATGTGAGGTTTTCCCATAGATGTTCTTATCTATTCATCAAGTATGAATGGAAAGATCAGTGGCCTGCTGGCTTTGTGTGTGTGAGGAAGGGGTGAGCATGGAGGTCAGTCCTGGCAAAGTTTGACTAATCAAATTGGAATAAATCAATAATTGTGACAGAACAGATAAATGGTTTGGAGTTGATTGATACAAACAGATGAGATTCCAGAGTTAACCCAGTGCGGCCCTCGACTATCATTAGTTTGACATGTTTTCCTTACAGAAAGTGTCTGTTTACATCAGAGGGTTGTGGTGCCTTTCTATTGTAAAGAAAATGATATAAAACTTACAAATATTTCGCAGAGAGATATTAACATTCATAGAAAAACCTCACATAACCTTATTAAAGCAGAAAGTACAGTGGCCACCATAAGAAAGGCTTACAGTATTCAATAATGTCACGTAATTGATCAGTACAGTATTGCCAGCGAAAGCAAAAGTATTGCTCTGGGTATTCATCTCAACACGTCTTAACACGTCCAAAGAATGAAAATCATCTAAAAACCTGCTCTCCAGGAAATTCCAGGCACAACAGAGGATCTGAACCAGAGGCAATGGCAGCTGGAGTGAGTATTAAACCTTTCGATGTTTTTAGAGCAAAGAACAGCAGAGTTTTTATCAATATTTCTCTGCAGCAAGGCACTACACTTGTCAGAAAAGCTCTAAGTCCATTGATAAGATGATGGTCATTCTTGGCTCTTTCTAAATTAGCTTCTTTCTCACAACTCACCTCATACTGATAAATGTCTGCTTCATACCTCCTGTTTAATTCTTGGTATCAAATCTTATCCAGCACCAGTTCACTCTGCAGACGGTTCTCTGTTTCCTGCAGGCCGTCAATCTCCTTGGACATTTTTTCTTGGAGATCGTCCTTCTCAGCTCTCAGGTTTTCAAGGAGCTTTTGCTCATTGATTTTTCTTCATAAAACATTTGCATGTCGACCTGCAGGTTCTCCTCACCTGCAGCTTCATATTTTGATTGAATCCCTCGTAGTGAGTCTTGATTTGGTCCAGCTCTTGTTGGATGGCGTCACTTTTCTCTTTTTCTGCCTGGATTTGTGACCTGAATGTTTCCTCACCAACAATATGAGCTCAAATTCCTTCTGCAGCAGCCTTTTTGTCTTGTGTTTTATGTCTCCGTGCTTCCTGGAAGTGATTATAGTTCGTCTGAGAGACTCTGAATCAGAAAACTCTTCTCCTGTCAGTAGTTCTCTCTTCATCTCCTTGAGTCTTTTCTGTCCTTGTAACTCAGCTTTTGTTTTCTCCAGTCCTCTTTGCACGTTGACAGCTTTTGGTTCTCCTCAAACCATCTTGCTCTGTCCTTTTCCAAAAGAGAGCCAAGTCTCTGGATGTCTCTCTGTAACTCAATGGGAGGCGTTCTGTTCAATCCAGCCTTGCAGATTTTGTCCAGCTCTCCAGGCTCCATGCTGGGGTCTCATCTCACCGTTGGACGAATGTGTCCTTTGGTTCAACATGTTTGGACAAAACAATGTTTGTTAAAATCACTTTTGATCCACAAACAATCTCCATGTTCAACTTTGAAAGCGTTTTGTGAAGGTCTGAACTTGTCAGTAGTGCAGCAAGCAATGACCAGAATGTAGAAGTTTGTTACATACATACAGTGATGATGACATCACAAGCATGGCTCGAGTTGTGACATCACAGTTTTCCTTCATCTCTGGAATGATGATGTGAGTGTTTGAGGAATCTACCACACTGACCAACCAAACACACTCAGAAAGTGTGTGATAAAAGCTGGTGAGAATTTTCTGCTTTGTTTTTGGCCAAAGATCATTTTACACTGATAAGCAACTTAGAATAAGTGATGGCAGCTCATGATTTAGGAAAAACTTACAAACAAGAATAATAATTATCATTTTTGGAGTGTATTATATTATGTAGATCATATTAGCTTAGCATAAAGATCTTGAAATGTGATGAATCAATCATGATTGGTCTTGTTTGGAACTGTGATGTTTATCTATCCATTGAATCTTGAAGAGCAAATATTCAGTATAGTGAGTCAAAGTGGCTTGTTTATAGCAACCTCGTCACAAACTACTAGTTACCATTGGTTACACTGAGTCTGTTGGTTTATGGAGAGAATTTTTTTTTGTCAGAAGGCAAAAAACATGACAAAAAACTGAATTTTGTCATGGAGCCTAAGATTCTTGTTTCTTGGTTGAAAGGCTCTCGTCTTCTGAATATTGCAGCTGCACAGTTGTTAAAGTGATATTTATTTATTAATAAACTGCTTCATCTCACAAAGATTGTATTAAAAGCTCTACGGTCATTAGAGCTCTCCACAGGCCAGTTTGCATTTCTTAAATTTATATAGCAATATGAATAGATTATCTTTCCAACGCTTAAAAATCTACATTTTCAGAAAACTCTTGTTTTGTGTTGTTTTGTAGGATCCATTTATTTGATCATAGTGTAAAGTTAAGCTTAAGTTTGATTCTTTAGCCAATACATTCTCACCTGTTCTGTGTTGCAGGAGGAAGGGAAGAGCCGCCTGCAGCAGACTCAGGTGGAGGTGGAGCAGGTGACAATGATAATGCTGGACAACAAGAAAAAGGCCGAAGAAAGATTTGGCAACCTGAAAGAGCTGAATCAGCAGGCCAAAGATCTGCAGAAGCAGGTAGCCGTTCACCAGGCGCTCATCATGGAAAACCCATCATGGCTGCCACACCGTCGTTTGTGCCGCTTATGAAAGTTTTGTTTCTTCAGAAGTAAATTTATCCTGGGTTTAATCCTGTGTAATAGTTTTATCTATTTACATGAACTGATTGTGTAAAAATGGTGCTATGTTGAGGAAGGTATTTCTTATTGTTAGCTAATATGAATGAAGCTGTTTTATGTAATTCATCACATGAATAATTTAAATCTTTGTTATGGAAAGACAGAGCCCCCCTTGATAAAATAGAAAACTCCAGTTTTTAAGAAAATGCTTGCTTATCAATTAATTATTAGTTCATCAATCAACTCAATCAACTGTAGAAAACTTGAATCCTTCTATCAAATATTGAAAAGTACCAAGTAATGGAATCTAATTCAACATGTGTTTTTCTGTCTGCAGAGTAAAGTTTTTGAAAAAACAACCAAAAAGTTGTGGGACCAGACAGAAAACAAGAACCAGAAGACCAAAATCATCATCATCATCACCTTCAGTGTGTTGGCAGTACTCATCATTTTGGGAGTTGTAATCTTTCTTCATATAAAAACATCATAAATTATAAATTTGCAGGATAGCATAAAAAGCAAAATCTTCCTGCCAACTGAAAGATGACAATAAATGAGCTGCAGGACAGATGATCCTGGAAACAAGCTGCGTTTGTGTTACTCTGCTGCAAGATGTGATATAAAATACATTTTGTTCTGTGATAATAAAGTGGTTTCATGTCCTGCACACTGTAAAGAATCCAGTACAACTGAAGAAACATGTTGACTGCTGAAAGCTGTTTTATCATTTTAATAATGTTTCACTTTCTACTTTCTATTGCCTCACGACTTGGCATACATCTCAAGTGTTTTTTTTTTAATTTTTTTTATTCTCTCTGCGCACTCAAACTTCCAACCAACATCAAGTAGTGCCCTCCAGTGGTGCAATACTGCTCCTACATGCAAAACGTTATCTTGATGTTTTTGCTGCCTCCAAATATAAAGAAAGATGCATAAAAACTTTAAAGCATACCACCGAGAGGCAGTCACATTATTTTCTATCCTGCCATGTATGTTGAGACAATAAAATATGTGTTGAGACCGTATGTTCATAGCAATAAGCTATGGACATGCTATAAGTTTCCCCTCAATGGTCAAACACTTAGTAGCCAAATTAGTCTCATTATTGTCACACTGCAGTTCACTCATGTGAGAAAATCTTCACCAGCGCAGACAGAGTGTTTGCATCTTTAGAAATGCAAAAACCAGTTCCCTGTTCTACGGGTTATAAAGTCTTGGCTCTTCACTGTATAGAAATGATTATTCCCTGGAGGCCTGGTTTTACATCTTACCCAATTGCTAATGTTGGCGCATGTAATGTGCCAGTTCGACACTGTGAAGCTTACAGAAGAGCCGTGTCAATGGTTTAATATTTGTCCTCCGCTGCCATTGATAAAATACAATTCTAAAACAGCAACAGAAAACTGATGTCATTGTTCACAATTTCTTCAGTTCTCTGATTGGCCCGGCTGAAAGTCTAGAGTGGAATCAAAGTGAATGGGAGAAAGCCCAGACGAAGCGAGATTTCAGGAGCGTTTCAGGAGCATTGAAGTAAATTCTCTAGCTGTGCCACATAT